ATGTATTATATATAAATATATATTCATTATATATAAAAATATATACTTATATTATATTTATAATGATCTATTTATAAATATATTATATATTTTTCAAATATTTATAATATATTATATATCATTTATTATTTATAATATTATATTATACATATATTTGTATAATATATTATATATCATTTATTATTTATAATATAATATTATACATATATTTGTATAATATATATTATAAATATAAAAAACCGAAGAACCAAACCAGTCAAAAATTGAAACTGACGGATCAATTAACCGGTGGTACCAGTTCAATTTCGGTTTGGAGAACTGGAAAAACTGGTACCACCGGTTCGGTTTACAAAAAAAGTGCCATGGTTCGGTTAACCGAACTGTGGACACCCCTAGTGTTTGGCATATGTTTCAAAATGTTGCAAAACACTTTAGTAGTGTTATTGAAAATTTTAAGACATTTTCTAAGGATTTTAGCAATTGTGTATATGATTATGAGGATGTAGATGAATTTGAAGATGCATGGGAAAAGATGATTAAGAGATATAATCTCCAAGAGAATGATTAGTTGCAAAAGTTATACGATAAAAGGCACAAATGGGCTTTAGTATTTGGGCGACAAACATTTTCTGTTGGTATGAGTACCACACAGAGAAGTGAAAGCATGAATAGTTGTCTTAAAAAATACCTCAACATTAAGCATGATTTATCAAGATTCCTTTGGCATTTTGAGAGAGTAGCTGCTGATAGGCGATATGAAGAGTTAAAAGCTGAATTTGTAGCAACACAAAGCATCTCGGCCTTGATTGCAAAGATGGATATATTGAATTATGTTTCTCGTATATATACTCCACCTATTTTTTCCTTGTTTTACAATGAAGTAATGCAACAACTCAATTGTAGTATTGAGGAAGATTATGTTGTATGTAGAACATCAACTAAGTATGCTGTTAGTGTATCTGGAAAAAGTCATTGGCACACGGTCACTTTTGACTGAGTAGATGATTTGGCCAATTGTAGTTGTAAAAATTGAATATATGGGGATCTTATGGGGACATGCATTGAAAGTACTTGATTTTAAACGCATTAAAATGATTCCCTCATGCTATATACTAAAAAGATGGACTATTGATGCAAAGATGACAACTGCTGAAACATCTCATGACTCTATTACATGTGTTGATCAAAGCATAGAAATAGCAATGTATCAGAAAGTGATGAATTGTTTGCATTCCCAAATAGCAAATAGAGCTGCACATTCTAAGAATTCTTTCAAGGTTGTTATGGAGATTGCAAAAAAGATTTTAAAAGAAGCGACGGAATGTTTGAAACAAACAACATTTGACCAATCATCTATTTCACTAGAGGGCATGGAGGTTGAAACTAATGACAATAGTAGCTCTCCTTCCTTACATGTTGATAAAATATGTGGGGATATTGATGGCAAAAATGTCAATTTTGCTGAAGAAGTGAAAGGAATTRAACACAAGACCAATGTGTGTTCTTCTAAGAGACCAAAAAATGCTTTAGAAAAAGCCGTAGCAAGGAGAACAAAACGGAAAAAGAATCATATTGCTGAAGAAAGTTCTACCCAACAATCTATACAGGTATTTTTTTTTAATTTATCAATTAAATATATTTTTATGTTCGATAATTCTTGATTAAATTGTTTTGATCCAGGAATATGGAGATGGAGGCAGCCCAAAACATGTCCTTCCAAAGAAGACAAAAAGGACAAGAGCACAACAATCTAATCAACGTCTCTCATCAATACAGGTATATCTTTGATTAAATTTATTTAAATAATATATTAAAATTCCTATTACATAGAAATCGGGGTTCGAGAAAAATAATGAGAATGTCACAATGAGAAATCAACAAAACATTGTTTCACATCTTACTTCTCAACTCTCTCATGATTCATACAAACTTGTTTTTTCTTGCTTATTTAATTTAATTATTCTTATGTATTTTTCATATTCAAGATTGGTTTGGAGAAGGGTCATGCTCATACTATACCTTTATTACTTCAGGTAATTATTATAAATAATTTATATATCTTAAACATATTCTATTTTTATAACTAAAAGTATTTTATGCATTTGTCCTAGCCACAAAACATTTTTACATATGGACACATGAACTCCTTTGCTAATGATCCTAGTATGTCTTAGTTATTGCAAGTAAGTGGCTAATATACATGCAATAATAGTTTTTCTTTCTTTTCTATGGTTTTACTATTTGTTTAATCGTCTTCATATAGGCACAGATATCTGCTACTACTTTCATAGAATTCCCTACCAGTGGCTCTTATATGAGTCAGGTAATTTCCTAAATCAAATGAAATATATTTTGAATATATTCTTAAACATACTTTAAATGATATATACATTTTGTAGGGATCATTAGGTGTTGGAGTATCCCACCAAACAATGGCTTGCAACAATTCAGAAGATGTTGAAGAAAATAATGACTGATAACCTAGGTGAAAACTCGTATCAATTCATGATATCTAGTCTAGATAAAAATTGGAAAAAGTGTTTCCTCTAGATAAGTTATCTATGTCATTTAAATTTTAAACCTTAATAATTAAGTCTTAGATCTTTTTGTTGTATTTGTATTTGAATGCAGGAATTGAAGGGCAAAGAGATAAAGGAATACAAGAGATACTTGGACAATTCTTTTCTATGAAATTTGATTGCATATAATTGTACAAAAGCCTTGCAATTCTGTTTTGGAAGCATGGCTATGATTTTTTATATAGTTTCTTTCTATACATGTTAAGCACATATTTTATAGTTTCTTTTATTGGTAATTTTTTATAGTTTCTTCCTCAATACTATATAACAAGAAGAAAAAAAAAAAATCATATGAACACAACAAGAAGAAAAAAAAAAAAAAAAAACTTCAGATAATTTGATGTTCCAAATATAACTTAGCCATATCTTTACATAACTAATAATGCTCATGCTGAAGTCTATTGTTTTAACCCTACTATCAATAAAATAACAATACTATAATAAGTATAATATTGCATTTGACATGTTATTAATTCCAATCTATCCTCCAAGAAGAAAACTTGCTTCTCAAGCCATTCCATACTATTATTCTCTTATAGTGATACTTGCTCTTCGAACTACTTCAAAACTTTGCTTTTTGCATCCAACCATCGTCCAAGCAGTAAATTTGTCTATCCACTTGATGCATATGCTAATTCAAAAATGTCTTGAAAATTGTATAGAATGCACCAATCAAAAATTACATCTTCTACTACTGATACAAAAGGCAAAAACATTAAAATTAGGTATGAGGTAGAATGCAATTAGCACAAAAATGAAAAACATATTGAGGAGATTTTTTACTAGTCTTGTGTTGTATGTTCTTGTAATATATTCCTATAAGAGTTAAGAAAAGAAAATAAATTCAAGAAAAAACTGCAAGGACAAATTTCCAACATCTTAATATTGTTGGTAGCAAATAAAGTTCACAAAGAAACAAGTTGATTCTACAAAAAAAAAAAAAGTTGCAGAAACCACAATCTAGGCTAATCATTCTCACTAGTCATCCCAATCAATTGTTTAAATTGTTTTGTTCTATCTATGGACATGTTTTGAAGTTGTTTATACTTGAGCATTTAACCCGATAGTGCTAGCTCTTGGAAATGGATTCCATGTATTGTACTAGTTGGTTGGACCATATAACCTACTAGTTCTGCACCAACAACTAAGTACTCATTGATTTTAGAATTTTTTTTTTATTAGTCACCATAAAATTTCCTCATTTTACAACTTATTTTTTCTTGTTCATCATTCTAATGATTTGAAGGTTTCTTTGTCTTTGAACAAGACAAAGCTCAAGCTAAGCTTTTTCTTTTACCTTTTCCCTTGCTGCATTTTTTTTTAACCTAAAGAAACAAACATAACCCTTTTTTATGATTATCCAAGTTGCAAGGGAAAAATGTTGTACATAGAAAAAAGTTACAAAGAGCAAAGATTTGTACTACTTACTTTTAACTAATAAGTTTTAATCTATACTACTAATAAAAGAGTGAATAACCCCATTTTTTGGACTTCTCATTAGACATTTTTACCCTTTATTTAAGCAACATACAACGGGCATAAAAAGGGCATATATGTCCTTTACTCTCACTCCAAAAACTGCCCACTTATAACTGTTCAAAAACTGTCCACTTATAACAGTTAAGAAACTGGCCACTTATAACTATTCAAAAACTGCCCATGAATTGTAAATAGTTGTCCTAGAGATAATGTCACGTGCAAATGCACGTACATGTTTACTAGTAATTTACAAAAGCATGATTATTAGTGATGAGGACCATTGTAGATGATTCCAGACCAAGCTAGTTAATAAGTATGTTAAATCCAGTCTTACCAACCTGTTGAACAACATAACGCCCAAGAAACCCAATAGCTCCAAATACAATTGCAAAAATGTCGCTTTCCAAATTGAATAAATATTTCAACTTAGATAGCAAAATTGCAAATGGACCAAAATGAAAGTTTCTTCTTTGATAGGTAAATGAATGTTTATTCTTTTTGACACTTACCCTTGTAGTCTAATGTCTAGACAAGTCCAAATACATTAACAGTGATCAAACAGAGCAAACCATCTTTATAGGACTCTTCCAACCAAACTAAAAGGGATTACATCACTAAATTTCAACTAAAAGAAAAAAAGTGGTAAAGAACATATGTCATAGATGATCTCCCACCAGTACCTTTGCAACAAGATGGGGAGGGTCGATCCATACCGCGAATTATCAGTAACATAATTTGCATTTCCAATCAATATATCATGGTTTGAACTTATGGTTACGTAGATAAAATCCCACAAAAATCCAACAAAACCATTCTAGAAAATCAAGAATTTGCGTTTTGTTTGAAATCCCATGTTGTTTATGCAAATCCCTAAAGAAATGTAAGTGGGAGATAAATTGAAACCGTAAAGCATATATAGCAATGATAGACTATAGTCACCTGAGTTTGGACGAATGGATTTCTTAAGACGAAATCGCAGGTGAGGGCTTCAAGAACTGCTGCCCTAACCAAGTTGAGTGTCTGCCCCAACCAACAGTTGCAGCAGCTGAAGGTACAGAGGTGGGAGAACCCTAAACGGCAGAAGGTTGGAGAGAAAGGCGTTGGGATGGGTTTTCCTTTTTTGTTGGAGAGAAAGGCATTGGGACTGGTTTTCCTTTTTTGTTGTTTATTTATTTTTAATTATTTTAATACAAATAATAAAATAATAGGTAATTCCTAAACAGCACAAAAACGTTAAGATGGAAGGAGCATTAGCTGGGACAGGTGTCACACAGCTATTAGGTGCTCACTCATAGTGCTTACCTACATGCCTACTACATCCAGACCCATTTTAGTGTTGGTTTGTATTTGGTCTAACTACCTTGTTAAATAAACTGGTCTAGTCCAGTTGGATTAATTAAAATTAATTAAAATTTATTAATAAACTATTAATTTCTAAAATAATTAATGATCATTAATTTATTAAATAAATATTAATTAAGTAATTACTCTTAATAATAAATTATAGTTAACAAACTATTAATAATTGGTATTAATAAATAATAATTGCTTATACTAATGTTACAAAATTAATAGTTATAGTATCATTAATAAATTTTAGAAATAAATTAAAAATGAGTAATTTTTTATTAATAATATACATTTCTGTAAAATTACCAAAATAATTACCAAAATAATTATCGTTATTTATATTAGTAAAAATAAGTAATTAATGACTAATCTATTACTATATATTAAAACAATACTAGTCGTGTGAGATGGCCTCTCCTTTCTCCCCTTCCCCAATTGAGGCTTCTCCTTAGTTGCCTCTCTCTCTCTCTCTCTCTCTCTATCTATCTATCTCTATCTATCTATCTTCTCTGTCTCTCTCATGCCATTCCTAGCTCCCTCGATTTGCCACCTCAACAAACCCTCTCTCCTCTCTTTTCTCATTGCCAACTCCTTATCCTGTCGTTCTCTTATGTACAGTTGTTTCTCTTTGTGAGTTTTGTTATTAGGGTAGAATTTTAGTTTTGTTATTAGGATAGAATTTTAATCAATTATGTTTCCATTATGGATTGGGTTTCCATTATTTCGACTTAGTTTCCATTTGATTATAGATTTGTTTGAGAAGTCTTTAATGCTTTTTTCTTCTAGATGCAAAGTAGAATTTGCCATCAACATCGATGTCAGGGAGGCTCTCTCCAATGTGCTTAATTGACACAAAGAGACGCTACTTATTCTTTCATCATGGGATGCATTACATTTATAGTAAAGACATCTCATCTTCCACACTAACTTTGCCATATTTCCAAAGAAAACTAACAGACATGTTCAAGGTGGTGTCATTGAAGCCAAGGGAGATCAAAGAGGTGAAGCTGGTTTTGTGAAGAATGGAGGGGTTTCAAGCTGGCATGGAGATGTGGGAGAGAAGCCAGGGGAGATTGCTTTGATCTTCTTTGGGAGAGAATCTAGGAGCCTATCCTGCTCTCCCTGTCACCCAAGTTGAGTAATCCAAAG